CCTTTCCTTGCTCCTCAGATAATAGTTGATGCTGCCGCGTGTCTAGCGCAATTAGGGCAATTTCAATTAGTTCATTAGCAACATTCGCGCGGCGCATACGTGTAAGTACAAGTTACAATGGATACCAATAAATAATGTGAAATTTGGACACTGGTGATAGAAGTGTGTAAAGAGCGGCTTCTTTTTTTTATAGGAGAGGTGGCAAACGAGCGTGAGGCTCACCTGATATTAAGTGACTACTGACGCCCATGAACAACTGCAACACCAGGGGAATTGCACTCCTGCTGTTCAGCTGGTAGATGCGATAAAATACGCAAAGATATGCAACACCTCTTCGCAGCGCCAGTGAATCAAGCCTATCGGAAAGGACTCGATCGTCGACGATTCGAGCGGCTCTGCGCTGGATGCAGTCAAGTGAAAGGAGCTGGCACTGGGGAGCCCCAGCTCAGAGATGGGAACAGTATTCCATGTGCGGCCGAACCTACGCCTAGTAAAGTTGCATGTGGTGTGCCGGCATGAAATACTGTCCCGCTCTTCTGAGCACGCCAAGCTTTTTAGAGGCCAATTGGCCTTCTCTTCCAAGTGACCACGAGACTGCACGTCACTCGATATGTCGACGCCGAGGATTCCAATACTGGCGGAGGCAACAAGGGGGGTGCCTTGAAACTGAGGAGATACAAAAAGGGGTTCTTTTTAGCGGTAAACGCGCAAACTTGTGTCTTCTGAGGATTAAATTGGACTAGATTTAGTCCGAGATCCGAGACTTTGTTCAGCAAAGACTCGACTTCAGACACAAGTTTGTTCCGGTACTCGGCGACGTTTTCCCGAGAAATATTGGCCCGGCCGGCGTATAGAGCATCACCAGTGCTGTCATCCGCATAGCAATGAATGTTACCAGTTAGCAACATATCATTGATATGCAGAAGAAACAGCGTTGGTGATAGCACGTAACCTTGTGGGTCACCAGCGTTAATAGGCTTGTAATCGGAGCGTTCACCGTCTACTACGACTTTGTTGCTCCGATCAGCCAGAAAACTGGTGATCCAATTGCAGAATTTCTCGGGAAGCCCATAGAATACGTGGTATCATACGTGCTAGAGCCATGCTGCAGCTATATTAGTAGTATAGTTGTAGCACGAATGAGTCGGCTCGACCGGGGAAGAACCATGCTCTCACAGAATACCAGCGTAAAATAGCAGCTTAACACTGCTGTGTTTCGTATGGTGAGTATAGAGAACCGGAGACCCTTTTTACTGAAAAAGAGGCATTCCATCTTAGGCCTCACGGGTGACAACGCATCTGCATTTTGATTCGCAAACGAGGATAAATGTCTATGGGCCACAGCAACCACTTACCATCAGGTGGAGTGTGTGCTCTTTTGTCACCATATCCTATAAAAAAAATCAGAAAAGAAGCTTCGAAAGAAGCGCTTTGTGCCAGACCCGACCGAAGGCCTTCGCTATGTTCAAACTAACGGCCAACGCCTCCCCTTTGGACTCGATCGTCTGCACCCATCTACGTATTAGATGAATAAGAAGATCACCAGCTGAGTGACCCTGACGGAAACCGTACTGGCGGTCACTAATCAGCTGGTGCTCCTCAAGGTACCGTATGAGCTGGCAGTTAATAATGGACTCTTTTGATGTGAAAAATTGATGTGGAAATACTCCGACTTTTCCCATATAAGGTATTGCATCTATCATATAGTTTGACTTCGGGTCACAGAAAACTACAGTTTTTATACCATATTTGTCAGGTTTTGAAGGTATATACATGCCAAAGGGACAACGTCCCCGAAACCCAGTAGCTGTTAATCCACTGTTTACATATGAGCCAGCTTTGTAACTATCTCGACATACATCAATAAACATATCCCACATTGCCCTTATAGGCTCAAACTTATCAGTAGCCTCGTAGTTTCGTTCATCGCGAGTTAATTTTTCGTCGAATCTTAGACAATTCAGCAAAAAATTGAACCTATCTTTTGACATGGCTGAAATATATTTCGTCCCACTTTCAGCTGGATCGAACAACTCTGCGGTGGTCAGATGGTTATCCTTCTTCCTTGCGACTAACAGCAGCAATACTATCAGGGATATATTTCTTTAGCACAAGTATCACTAACGGTTGCTATTTTTACGGCGTATTTTTCTCTTTTAGTAGAAATTTCTACGTTTGTGTTCAATACAATGGTACTCACTATCGAATCTGAAATAAACAATTTGAATTGTTCCAATGGAGTCATAGCATTTTTTGCTTGATTCTTGGGCCCTTGAATAATGGGAATAATGGTTCTTGATTGTGTTCTGCTAGTGGGAGTGGAAAATTATTTGAGCTGCCTGTTGTCGTTCGCCTGAGCTAATCTGTTCCGTAGGTCAGGCATTATCGGATGAGCCAGTAGAATTTATTTGACGTCGGCGACTAATATTTAATGCTCGAAGAGGTTCATCATCAGAATCGCTTGAAGCATCTGTAGGTTGCTCACTATCTGTCTCTAAAATATTCTCAACTTCACTGTCGAAATCATTTGGAGGAACCGCTTCTTCTTCGTCTCCCACTCTGGATAATATTGCATAAATCTCATCTTCATTCAATGAAGCCATGCTGGAAAACAATTGCAAAAATAAATGGTATATACCAATAAATAATAACTGTAATAAACGAATTAATACCTAGTAAAATATTTAACTTATCAAAATTTTAAACCACGGCAATTAATAATAATTTTCATATTAATTATTAATATTTCGTAATAATAATTAATTACATAGATTTTTAATAGAATAAATACATACCTTTATAATGTTGTTACACTAATCATAAACATACGTATCTCAAACACTTCGGGCTCAGTGTATCCAAAACTATTCACGTACGCGCCAAAACTACTGGTGCCGAAGTGAGCTCTCGTCGTTTTAGGAAGGTTTTGTAACTAGAGCTGAAAGTTTTCGAGACTGGACGAGGGGGACGCAGCGTTGACTTCATTAGACGTGACCTCTTCAACTTAATGTTTCGGTTCAGCGTATTTCTAACCATTCGGTGATCGCTACCAGTTTTCACTCTCGCGATCACTGAGACATCACTGAACAGTTGCTGTCTTAATGAAGTCAAAGTCAAACTCATTTTGTGTCGAACCGTCGGGGCTCGACTAGGTCCACTTCCTGTGATTCCGCTTCTGGAAAAAAGAGGTCATCATATAGAGTCCCTCTTTCTCCATGAAATTGGCCAGCTGCTGACCTCTTTGGTTCCGTTGCCCTATTCCAAATTTCACTACCTTCAGCTTACCTTTCTCCCGTGCTTTGTTTTGCATTAACGCCGTAAGTAGATTTTTGAGGAATGCATGGCTTTAGAAATATCCTCATACATTTCCTCAACCTCCTCATTGGGATGTGCAGAAGTTGGTGCGTAAACATCCAGCACCCTCGTCCACACACTCACAATCTTTACAACGTTGTTAACGAGAGACTTGTGGAAGATAAATACATCACCTCTTTGGAACAGATGTTCGGTGATAGAACAAGTAGCCGAATTCGAGGATCACCGTATACTCCCCCTCTTTTCATACCTCAGATAATCCTGTAATATCTGGGCGCAACTTGTATATCTCTTCTTCCAGCTCCAAGGTCTTCTCGTCAGTCCTCTGTTGCCAGGTCGAGTCGTCTTAGGAGGCAACTGAACCTCCACCGGAGATTCTTAGCACCCCCTGCCCCGCCGTTACCATGGTCGTCACCGTAGCCAGGAATGGCAGGGCCGTCTGGGACTAGGAGCCGTTTCGTTGTTGGGGATGAAAGTTACGCCATAGTTGTAAGTCGCCATAGTTGAGAAGCGGATTGGCAACCGCAGTTTTTTTATTGTACTGATGCTGTTATCAGGAAGATGCTGCCGCCTATCTCCGCCTGTTTCCCACTGTCGCCTCTTACGACACTCACGGGAAGATGTGGGATAGTGGTTATTCTTAACTGCCACTACACGGCACTGTAAGGTATTACTTACAATTAATACTCCTAGAAATTAAACAAGCCAAACAATTCAAATCAAATAAACACTTTTCTTGCTTTTTATTCAGTGAACTTATTTATTATATCATGTAATTCATAGCTGAAGACGATTTCAGTTTTTCTGTCTCTATAGACAATAGTCACAAGTCTGATAGCCTTTCCTGTTCATAGAAGTCCGTAGAATTTTTGCTTATACACCATTGGGGCCCCTGTACCCCGGGGGCCCCGTATCATTGATACGGCTGATACGGCGGTAGCTACGCCCCGGTCTCAAGTTCCAGCATACCTTGCGCCAGCACCACCACATCAGAGGCTACATAACATTTTGACGGTGAAACTATTGCTGATGCTTTGTTGCTACTGGCAGCAGATGATCATTGCTGATTTTATTAAATTTGAGACTCTATGTACATCTTTTGAATAAACAAAATGTTAAAAATTACGTTTTTATTTATTCATAAAGAAGTTTTGATGTTTGGGCTACTTTAGCGGGAACTTGATAAGCGGCGGTTTGCTGCTCCTGTATTATTGTTTAAATAATGGTTTGAAGTGGACTTTGATATGTAAAAGTGGTGCGATTTTGTGTATTAATTGTCTACGCATGTGAACTATTAGTGGAAACAGTGAAACAAGTGCTCTGATGGTGATGGATACTCAAGATAAGCTGTTTGTTTGCATAGGCACCTTGAGATACCATCGCCAACTATCAGCTGTCTGCTGGCTCAAGTTGCCATCAAAATCTCTCAAGGGCTGCACAATGTGACGCATCAACATATTGTGAAGCAGTGAACTATGAAGGATAATTATTTATAATAAACCGAATAAAAATACTCAAGACTTGGCCTAAAGGTCTAGATACCAGGCCATAAACTCCTATAAAAAAAATAATGATAATGTTTTCTCTGTCTGACAGGTGACCGTCTGCTCTGTCTATGTTTTTCACAAAGTAATACGAATACGAAGCGCATTTCTATTTTTTATTTAAATTTTAGTACGAGTAAAATGCATAACATTGAATCGGACAGTGAAGATGATCTTGCTGGAGGTTGGGAGCAAAAGTCTACTGAAGATGGAAATGTATATTTTGTTAAGTATGTATCATTTGTTTAATAAAAGCCCTTTTATTGGAAATGTTAGAAGCAAATATATGTATTTGCAGTTCATGCACGAATAAAGTACAATGGACACATCCTACAACAGGACGTAAGAAGGTAATTCCAAAAGAATTACCTTTTGGGTGGATACAAACATTGGACGACAGTGGCAAAACCTTGTATGTAAAGCAAGAGACTGGTAGTAAGACGTATGTAGATCCAAGACTAGCTTTCGCAACCGAAGAAAAGGCTCATGTCACTGACTTTCGGCAGCGATTTGATTCATCTACTACTGCATTCCAGGTAATTAATAATTAAACTGTTGGTAGTATTGCTACTAAAAGCTTTTAGAATAGACACTTGCTATTTAATTTTGAATATAATAGATTAATTTTTATTTATTATAGATTGATATTCATAATTTCATTTTTAAGGTTCTACATGGCATAGATTTATCAGGAAAGTATGCCCTAATTACGGGCTGTAATTCTGGCATTGGCTATGAGACGGCTAAATCACTAGCAAGGCATGGTTGCAATATTCTCATGGCTAATCGAAACATGGAAGCTACTCAGAATGCAATAAAAGATATTGTGAGAGATACTAACGCATCAGAGGATAATTTAAAATCTATTTACTTAGATTTGGCATCTTTGGACAGTGTTAAAAAATGTGCTTCATCAGTTAAGACTGTTTTTGCTGAGTAGGTGTTACTATTTATGTATTTATTTTAAACTATATATATACACATTAAATCATACACAATCTGTATTAGTGGGTTCTAAATTGTTAGCTTCTAAAATTTATATAGTTTTTAAACTCTTGATATCTTTTTATAATTCATACTTTCAATTTTTATTATTAATGTCAAATAGTGAAAATTGTGGTTGTAATTTAGGTCTACCCTTAATCAACTACCTATGTGGTGACTTCTTATAAGGTAATTTTTATATAATTTAAGTAATAAATCAAGCATCTAACAGATGGTATAATTACTTAAAAAAGTTAAACTTATAGCCTATATATGTCCCACTGCTGGGCTCAGGCCTCCTCTTATTTCTGAGAGGGCTTTAGTAGGTTTTAGTAGTGTAGTATAATTACTTAAAAAATAATTTAATTATCAATTCTATTATAGCTAGATATCATGATAAACTGACTGACCTCTGCTTGTTTTAATTCAATAATATATTGAAATAAATTTGTTACAGCCATCTTGATATACTTATTTTAAATGCAGCTGTGTTTGGTCTCCCATATACAGAAACAGAAGATAAACTTGAAACAACATTCCAAGTTAATTATTTGGCTCATCTATATCTAACTCTTCTACTAGAGCCAATGTTTAAGAAGGGTACTAGAGTTGTGTTTGTATCTTCAGAATCTCATAGGTAATACATACTTACTTTTTATTTTTTCTACTTTTATCTGCAAATGTGCCAATTATGAGCAGTTCTGATAACAGCTATGGATAGTTCAGTGTGCTCTCCAGAGAGGGTATCTACTTAATATTCCTTTTACACTACACTGAAATACTGTCCCTAAGACCTTAATATGAGAGGTGTAATAAGAATAACTCAGTAAGGGTGCTTAATTAGGGCGTCAGAATGGACACGGTCCGCCTTATTCCCTTAGTGAGTTTACCACCGTGCAGTGTAATACTACTTAGGGCAGTTAGGGCACTTATACGACATGTGAAGAGCGTGGAAAGCTGATGTGTGTTATGTTTTCGTATTTCTGTTTTAGCACGCAGCCATCTCCTACAAAGAAAAAGGAGTGTTGTTGTCTGTTATAGATTAGTACACCTTATTTGTGGAAGAAGGACAAGGACTATATGAATAAAGACATATGAAGTGATGGTTTTAAAGTGTACAAGTGTCACAGCCATTGCAATAGTGACTTTTGTTGATTTGATAATTTATTTTTACATGGTAGAGTCAAGCTGCAGCTATATTATGGTTGTAGTACGAATAGGTCAGCTTGACTGGGGTAGGTTTAGTAGGGTTACGTTACCCATAGATTTATCCTCTATTAAGAATTAAAATGCAGATACATTCACACCTAATAATTAAGAGAGAATGCCTCGTTTCCAGTAAAAAGAATCTCCGGTGTGTAGAGAACACAGAGCATATAAAACACAGCAACATTAAGCTGCTATATTACGCTGGTATTCTGTGAGAGCGTGGTCCTTCCCCGGTCGAGCCGGCCCCTTTCGTCCTACAACTATACTACTAATATAGCTGCAGCATGGCTCTACCACGTAAAAATTATTACTTTATGCATAACAAGTAAGAAAGTTAACTTAATCAATAACAAATGTCTATATTTTGTTTGAATGTTGTATTTCAATCATAGATTATTTTTATACACATAATAGAGTGTTTATTATAATATGTATTTTTGTACAATTTTTACTAAAAATGTGTATATTTTTTAGATTCGCTTATTTGAAAAATGTGTTTATTCAACAAAATATTGCAATGACAAAGGATACATTTAGCTCTATGATGGCCTACAATAATTCTAAACTATATATGATAATGATAGCTAAGGTATGGCCATTTTTAAATATATTACACAGTATGTGCAATAATATCAAGAGAATGTGGGTTATTGGAAAGGACACAAAACTAGTTTTTGGTGTAAATAATGTCATTAATAATAATTTACAGCAAATGTTTTGTTAAAATTACGTATTTAAGTGAATATACCTACTTATTGTTCTTTGTGCTCAATAAGTACATGTTTTTGGTTGTTTAATAAGTATGAAGGTCATCAGGTGTTCATCACTTCAATGGTTAAAATTAGTAAAAAAATTACGTTTTTGTATACTGTGACGCTCTAACACCCACGCTAACATTGGAATATACATTTGATCATAAATAATAACCAAAATATGTTTTTAAGATCCTGAGTGAAGAATGGAAAGACAAAAGAGTTTGTGTTAATTCTCTGCATCCAGGAAACTTGGTGTACACAAACCTTTGCAAATCATGGTGGCTGTATAGACTTTTTTTTTCCATGGTTAGACCATTTACAAAATCATTAGTAAGTATTAATTTTTATACAACTTTGTTTTATTACTGTTTATTGTATTAACATCCACCAATACAAGTAAACATTGGTATTTGGATTAAGCTGAGATAAACCTTACGTCTTTTTTATTCACAAAAAATAATAATTAAAAAATACATGATTTAACTATGGCAAAATAGCTGAGGCAATCTATGGGGGAGGCCTATGTTCAGCTGTGGACCTTTATAGGCTGCACACTGTAATGTATAGTTGGATGGGCACACTCTCGGTTTGTCCAGAGGGATTTTAATTATATGTGTAAAATCTTACCCTGTCAGAAGTGTTTAAATTTTTATATACTTCAACATTGTCATTGAATATTTTTTTTATAAAACTGAAGTGTCTCTTTGTTTGTCCGACATCCGGAGATATTTTATTTATATCCTAAAATCTTACTGTGTGTGAAGTGTTTCAATTTTTACATACTTCATCATTATCATTGAATATAACTTCAAACAAGGAGGGCTACATAGATGCATTGTCACCCTGAGAATATCAATTGCCACATTTCCAATTCCATACTCTTAATAAAGAAAAAATCTTGTCCAGCAGCTACATACCGTTTGCTATCTGAATTTATTGTCTTAATAAAAATACATTTTAATGTTCCAGCAACAAGCAGCGGCAACAACAGTGTATGTAGCAACAGCAAGTGAATTAAGTGCGGTAACAGGACTTTATTTCAATAATTGTTTTTACTGTCCTGCGTCAGAGCTTGCCCGAGATAAGGATATAGCCTGGGAAATTTTCGCCATCTCTTTAAAAATGATTGCCGACCGGATGGGCACAGATGCCATACTAAAATATATTGATAAATGTAAAGTGAAGAATTCTAATGACAAAACACAATGATGAAATTTTTTTTGGGTGTACCATATAATAATAAGATCACTTTGTTAATTTATCTTATATATATCGCTGGTTTGCGAGAATAGCGACGGAACTAAAAATGATTGATTTTAGAGAATGGCATTTTTTAATTTCTAGGTAAATATTTTAGTGCATACTGCAAAATGTAAATGATTTATTGAGGGATTGACTTTACTGATTAAAGGAAAATTTATCGTAGTATCAAAAAACATAAAAATATTTTAGAACTTTTAATTAAAATTATTTAAAAAATCGTCATAAAATGGCGGTTTTCTGACATCAGTCTTTATTCATGAGACTCCAAATTATAAAAATCAACTTATGTCATTTATTTAGCTTTAAAGCCTCTTAAAAAATACAAATTAAAACTTGTACATAACAACAGTGTTTAAAACTTTTGTACTTATAAGTATAACAACTAAAAATAGTTTTATAACATACAATAGTAACTTTAAATATAGGTATTAAAATAAATGAAATGAAAATAAATGTGAATTCTTCAAAATCAGCAATGAAAAAAAATATAAAACAGGAACATTAATTCTTAAAAGGAAATCTAAGTAAATTAGATCATTTAATTTACAACCTCTCATAAAATTGTCGATAATAGTTTGGAATTATATTTTTGTTAACTAAATTTACTAGTCCTCTCTTCTTATTTTCTGAGATTCCGTTCCTTTTTTTTATAAGCAGATTGCAATCTGTAATTTTCGTCCAAAGATTTTGATGCACGGCTAGTAACTTTCACATATTTAAATTCATTTTCACCGTAAGATGTTTTATAGAAAAAGCTCCCTTTGTGGTCAGCATCTACTTTTAAAATCTTTATATCTGCCATTTTCACACTCTCATTATCAGTATTTTTATTAAAATTTCTACCCACGTCAGAAGCTAGCGACTTTAATTCGTAAAAATTTCTATGATCCATTTCTACGACTTTGTAAGGAGGTCCTTTCTTTTTTGCAGTGCGAATAATTGAAATGTACTGATCCGGTGTATAGATAGGGCCCGATTTCAAAGTCTTTTTCACCGTCACCGTTTTGTGTGTGCCCTTTTATCAAAAATTTATGCGTGGTACTATTAATATGAGCAAAAGTAGAAACAGCGTACATGTACATACTGATAATAAATTTATTCTTTTGCTGTCCGCAGCAGTTGTCAGAATAAAAAATTATATCTAGTTTGGCTTCAGTTGTTAGATCTCTGCCAAGATATTTTAAATATTCTAAAACACAGGTCCCTATTTCTATAGCTCCTCTATTTGCTTCTCCTTCATGCCACACGTAGCAGAACGCATTTTTATTTTTCATCTCATAGATCGTAAAGTTTAAGGTATTCACTTTTGAAACATAGTAAAAATTAGATACATCTCCTCTAGGACATGGCATCACAGTTTGTAAGTCATAAACTGCTACAATAGTTGATTCTTTATCTTCTGCTTCTTTCTTGTCCTTAACCTTCTCCATTCTTAAAAGCTCTTTTTCTTTTAGATGGTTCTCATATTTAGACTTCATATTCATTAAACATGATATAATTAGCACTTTTCTCTCTTTTTTCTTTACAGTGTTTCACATAATATCTATAAATTTCTGCAATAGTCTTACTTCCATCAATATATTCTTTCTGCGTATCTGCTTGACAGTAATGGCTTTCTATTTTTGGTATCGCCTTAATGAAATTTCTCAAACTATCTTTAATATTATTATCTACGCGACTGTGATTGCCATGTTTCCCTCGAAGGTCCTCCATTATAATGCCTGAAACGTCACTTCTTGATTTTTCGGTAACTGTTCGAATAAATCTATCAGATACATCCAGCGTAGACATAAAAAGACTCTTACAAACTCGAATTTTTACGCCATCTTTGTCTTTAAAATAAAATGCGTTATTATTTCGTGTTCCTTTTTTATATTGATACGACGGAATAGAGGACATATTGAATGCTACAAAAGTTCTTTTACTTTGCAAATCAGGTAATTTATAATATGCGTCAAAAATATGGCGTCGAGTCCCATCATCAAACTTTGTGTTACACTTTAACTTGCATTTTTCTGTACATCCTGGTCCTAATCGTCTCTCTCGTATAACTTTATTATTTTTGCCTACATATTCTTTCCCTGCATTTCGTAGATGTTTTGCTACATTCGATTTCCAAAGTTATGGCTGCATTTTCCTCTTACGTGTAATATTTTGGTTTGATTCACGTGAAATATTTTCTTCTTCATTCTCTTCTACCGTTTCATCCGAATCTGACGATAAATCATTATCTTCAATGTGATAATTAGGATCTGCGATACTATCATCCGATGAAAAATCTCTTTCTTCCTTTCCTTCTTCACTTTCAGCATTCATATTGGTCAATTCAATAGCTTTTGGTTCACTTTCTATTTGTGAATTACTTTCTACTGCAGTCTCATCTTTCATATTATCATTTACTGACTCTATACTTATCTTATTTTCTTTGGTTTTATTTTCTAAGCTATGACCATGGAGTCCTTTTTCTTTTAAATTTATGATTTTATTGGATTCTTTATTACATTCTTCTGTTTCCCTATTGCTGGAGGAAGATGAGCTAGAAGACGAGGAAGATGAGCTAGAAGTGAAAGAAGATGAGCTAGAAGATGATGATGACGATACGGACGATAATATGGATGGTGATCTTTGTCGCAAAATCAATTTATTTATTTAACACTCACAGTTTTGTAATTCCCGGTAATCGAACCCAGGAGGTTACGATCAGCCACTAGCGTGAGTGTAAACTATTTGCAACAGGACGAACTACACATCGGAATAAAAATAAAAACGAAAAATCTTTCGACTGGTTGAATTCAAATATTTTATTTTGCTTACCTGATGTGTTATTATAATTTATATCATTTTCGATATTTTCATCAGAACTTGTTGCATGTAACGGCAAACTGCTTTTATGTTTATTGGAACCTAAAATATTTTAAATACATAGTTAAATAGTTGAAAGAGTAAATAATTTTGAGACAAACTGCAAATAATACAAAAATTGTAGGCTAACCTTCTTGTTCACTATTCGTTAAATCATTTCGATCCTCATTTCCTTTATTTTGACTGGCCGCTTCTTTCAACTTTCCCAAGAATAACATTCTTTCTGCCATCTTGAATACCTCTGATAAAGATAATTATCTAAAACAAATAATTTAACGTAAATAATAATAATAATAATATTCCACAACTATCACACAACGCCATCTAGTCCCAAGCTAAGCAGAGCTTGTGTTATGGGTACTAGACAACTGATAAACATACTTATATATTTCTAAACACAACATAAATATTATAGATAAATAATTAGTTACATGTAAAAACTAACTCAATATTTCTGACAGGCCTGTTGGTCTAGTGGTTAGTGACCCTGACTGCTATGCCGGAGGTCGTGGGTTCGATTCCCACAAATGTTTGTGTGATGAGCATGATCATTTGTTCTGTGTCTGGGTGTAATTTATCTATAATATTTATGTATTTAGAAATATATAAGTATGTTTATCAGTTGTCTAGTACCCATAACACAAGCTCTGCTTAGCTTGGGACTAGATGGCGTTGTGTGATAGTTGTGGAATATTATTATATTATATTATTCAAGGAATTTTGGAATAGAAATTTTCTATCCCAAAATTCCTTGAACACAGACGCATTTCGTAATAAGAAGCAAAACCATGCCCATTTTTTTCCAAAATAACGACGTTTCTTATTTACGACAAAATAAAATCCGTTTATTTTTCGTGAATATAGACTCAAGTTACATAAAGTCGGTATAAAATACAATATCATAAGCAATCACCCATTTTTATTCAAGAATACAGGCGTAAATAGAAATGAGACATAAAAAGATACTTACTTTTATCAGGAACAACGACGGATCACTAAATGTGTCACTATTCTTGAAAAAAAAATCAACAATTGTTGCAACCAAACTGTAAAATACGTCGGTATTTTCGAGAATCGAGCGTGCGTTCACTCTGTTGTCATTGGCTCAACTGAGATGAGCCTTTATTTGTGATTACCACAGAATACATGTCATGTACCCTGACGGGAAGAACGAAAACTTCATACAATAAAAATGCCAACAGCTTGCGACACTAGCGTGCCAGCTTATGATCCATGAACTAACAGATGTGAATGTGTGCGTGTGTATATGTATAATGTTTATTGCCCACCTTCAAATTCAATATTCTATTTTTAATCATAATATATTACTATTTCCATTCTAATTTTCTACGAATGTAGAAATTACATTCTACATTAGTAAAAAATTGGAATGGAAATAGTAATAAATGAATAACATATTGGATATTTTAAATATTTAATAACACAAACCTTATGAGGAAGATTAAAGTTCACAATTAGCTATGCATTGATACATCAGTACAAAATTGGGATGAAACACGGTTAATAGTTTTTCAGAAATAAAACAATTATTTTCATAGAGATTTAAATATATTATTGACTAGTAATACTATAGACAGAAATAAACTTGGGCACTCAATTTTAGATGATTATAGACGCATCTTAGAACACACCGTTTTCAGTAATCCATTATTATTCGTTAAACATCTTCATTAAGTAAAACAACTCTAATAAATCACCACAAATTAAATATTCACTGGCTAGTAACACCACATTTAAGTTATTTTTCTACGAGATATACTAAATCGACATCAGTTTTGAATTTGGCTTAGAAAGGTTAAACAAAACTAACTCCATTTAATATGAAAATGATTTGAAACATTCCCGTTTAAAATAATATCTAATTGATGTAAAATGAACTTTGTAACTTGTTCTTTTCTTAATTTTATGAATATGTAATAAATAATAATCTAGTTTACGTTTTTATTTCACAACAGCCATAGATACATTTATATTTTCGGCTGCAGAGCTTGTTGCACAGAGTAATCATTTCAATCGGACATAAAAATAATCGCAACGTATAATTTAATTTATACTTTCATGAATTAAACAACTTTTATTTGTTAAGTATATTACAAAATATATAGTTTATAATTTATAAGATAAGTAAAGATAATTTTTAATGGGCAGTATATTAAAATGCAAAAATAAAAGTTCCTAAACTGTAATTGAAATACAATGCGTAACATGGTTCAATAGCGATTTCTCTGTCTTGCGTATAGCGCTATCTCTGTTTCGCTTATTTTGCCCGACGTTTGCATAGGCTCCATAGAGACTTGACCCTCCGTGGTGATTACGCTTCGAGTGTTTTGTCCATGAAGCTAATACAAAGGGGAGACGGCATAAGCAACTGTGCACTGTGATTCTAAGTAGGTCCTGACGTCATCATAGTGGGCGTGGCTTTAGTTAGTATACTGTCAGCATTCGTCCTGTGCGCTTATGTGTTGAAAAAATCGCAAATCGGTGTATTTTCGTAGTATTAAGAAGAAAAGGATGAAGTGTTGTGTTTTATTGTGTAAAAACTACTCAGATAGACGCTCTGATGTTATGGATGGCATCACATTTCATTTGTAAATATTTTTACACCTAATTTATTAAAATAGTTCTAGAAAAATCTCTTTGCGTCGGCTTTCAAATATAATTAAATATATTCGACACTAGATGGCGACACTTTGTGTCATGTGAACTAAAAATATATCATCTCAGTATTGGTAAAATAATCATACGAATGTGCTGAAATTTGTTTTGCATTCAGAGATAAAGAAATTTTAATCGCAAAATATTATTTTTATAGTTTATAATCATTTTGAGAACAGGCCGTATTCTCGTCAAGTAAACCTCATAAAAATGACAAAAAGACAGGGCCCTAATTAGAATTCAATTATTTTCCCAGTAATCCAACTTTTAATATTAAATGCAGGAAATTGTACTTAGGCTGATTTTTACGAAATGTTTGTTATATTTAGGTAAGTGACATTCTATATGCAAAGAATCACTTAAATACAATTTAATGTTCTTAGATTGGCATTCAAAAAGTGCATTCGGATGCCTAATTTGGAATAAAATATTTATATTTTAATTGATTTGTAAATAAAATTATATTAATTATAATAATTTGTCTATTATTTGTTCTCCCTCAGAGATATTAAGGAGTATAACCCGCACATAAATAATAGTCCAGCCGTTTCTGCGTGAAAAAATTACACATACTTAGTGTGGAATAAGCTCAAGGAGACAAAAAGAACACACAAAATTTCGCCTTTATAATATTAATGAGATAAGTAGGATATTTAGTTCCAAATTAAATATCCTACTTAATATTGAACAGAATATTTAGTTTCAAAGAGACATTATTTTAGGGATAAAATAAATATATCTTGAAGATTGACTTTCACGAAATGATAAACATATTTAAATTGTATTTAAGTGATTCTTTGCATATAGAATGTCACTTAAATATAACTTAAACATTTCGTTATAATCAGCCAAGTAAAATTTCCTTCATTTTAATATTGAATGTTGGGTTACTGGGTAAAATAATTGAATTCTAATTGCGGCCCTGTTTTTTTTGTTATTTTTTATGAGGTTTACTTGACGATAGATGGCGGCCTGTTCCCAAAATTATTATGAAAACTATAAAAATATTATTTTGGCGATTAAACTTTCTGTGTCTGAATGTATTTGCTTCATGAGATAGACGCTCCGATGCTATGGATGGCATCAGATTTCATTTGTAAGTAATTTTACACCTAATTTATTAAAATAGTTCTAGAAAAATCTCTTTGCGTCGGCTTTCAAATATAATTAGGTAAATATATTCCACACTAGATGGCGACACTTTGTGTCCTGTGAACTAAAAATATAAAGGTACGTAGAGCTCAGTAATGATAAAATAATCATACGAAGGTGCTGAAATTTGTTTTGCATTCAGACATAAAGAAATTTTAATCGCCATAATATTATTTTTATAGTTTATAACATTTTGTGGACATGCCGCCATCTACCGTCAAGGTAGCTAAGCTACATTGCAACATCTATATGGAAAGATTCGAGTAGTTTTACTATTTATCGGTAGATGTAGATAGTGTAGTGGGCGGGGCTTTGCACATAGACATAGTATCTTATGAATCCTCTATCTACGGCTTTGCATTCCCTCACCCCGCAAATTGTCACGCGTTGTTACATAGTGAAATTTAATTACAACGTCTCCTCTTTGTATTTGCTTCATGGTTTTGTCTCAAGTGAATAATGACGCTGTCTCTTTCTAACGAAAGCTAGCGCGAAATTGGCGTTGCGTCTCTGTTCACGATAAAATATCAAAGATTTATGATTGTTTGGCATACAGAATTCAATTTGACAGAATTTTGAATTACGTCGATATTCTCGCAAACCAACGATATATATATATATATCTGTGGTGTCTGGGAGAAACCTGTTAAGTCCAAAAACGTAATTTTTCAGTATAAGACTTTTAAGGTACAAGTTAAATTTATAAATCAGTTAGGTAAAGTAGAAAAAGCTAATCACTGCTGCAGTAACTATTTATTAATAAGGTTTTTTTTAAATATATTAACTAAAACTAAAAACACAGCCGTTCCATTTTAAATGGCACTTATCATTTTTTAACCAAATTAACATTAACTAATTAAATCGATAACAATGGAGTTAACATATTGAAATCAAAAGTTAGTAGAACATAAGTGTTATAATTTATTCGTAATTTTCGTCACTGTCGCTTACAGAGTCAGGATTCGTGTTTGAGGTTTCAAATTTTTATGAAAATTATGATAAACGATCTATAAAAGGTAGCATACTTATAATATCATGGTACTTTTTTGAGCATATAGGTAAAGGACTCGAATATGCTCTTTGTATGCTCAAAGTAGCAACCGATGATACCCGTCCCCTTTTAACAAATGAGTAGTATCTAAAAGGTTCACTTGAGTCTAAAGACTCTTTGAACGCCACATCATTAGAGTCTTTAGAACACATTATCCAAAAAATATTGTTCCAAATAAAAGGATTTTTATCGGTATCAATGTTTCTTTTCATAAACATTGTTTTGAAAAGTTGAGAAAATCCTAAAAACTATTCTTGTGTCATCATTTGGACTGTGTATCTGCGACTAGTCATTTGTATAATGTTTGCCCAATCTTGTGGAACAGAAATTGAAACTCTATGATGTTTTATA